TCCTCCTCCTCCGCCTCCTCCTCCTCCTCATTATCACCATCATCCTCCTCCATCCATTCCTTTTCCTCATGAAACAACTGTTCCCTGTCGCACCTCAGGCCCGTTTTAGGGCGGGGCCCGGCGTTTCGCCTGAGACTTCCTCACCATGTGTGACCCTGCAGCTTAAAAAATAGCAACAGTTTCACAGATTGAGGGCGGGTCGTTTTCAAAATGCGGCTCTCGCCTCAGCGCCGCGCACATTCGTTTAAAATTTGCAAGAGCTTCACGGATTGAGAGCAGGTGGCTTTCAAAATGCGGTTCCCGCACTAGCACCGCGCACAATCGTTTTCGAAATGTACACGACCTTCACGGATTGAGGGCGGGTGGTTTTCAAAATGCGGTTCCCGCCTCAGCGCTGCGTGCATTCGTTTCAAAAAATGACAACAACCTCACAGATTGAGGGCGGGTGGTTTTCGAACTGTGGCTCCCGCCTTAGCGCCGCGCACATTCGTCTTATAAAGTTGCAAGAGCTTCGCGGATCGAGGGCGGGCCGTTTTGAAATTGTGGCTCTCGCCTCAGCGCCTTGCACAGTCGTTGGAAAAAAACAAAAGCTTCACGGATTGAGGGCGGTTCCTTTTCAAAATGTGGCTCTCGCAATCGCGCCGCGCACACTATGCTTACACATCTGCAAAAACGTCGCGAACTCCCATGATCAGCGTACCAAAAACTAAGTCGGAACGACTCAGGATTATGAGGGCACAACAGCGACGTTGATTCGCAGTGTTGAAGTCTCAAGAATGATGTCCTAGCACGATTCAAAACCGTCAAGACGCAACACTCAAGTTGATCCATGACGTTGGAATACAGAGAACATTGCTTTGGCATGCTTCAAGGTCTTCAAACGGTTGTCTTCCAACGAGGCAGCTCCCTCAGTGGAAATGAACTGTGGTGGCGGCATGTGAAGAGGGAGCTTGGAGGGAGGGTGTATTCCATCATCGTTGATAACTCGTGGGTTTCCACTGGTCCTCCTCCTCCTCTACATGCGCAACTTGGGAGGCTGGGGACCAGCGACGCGGTCGGCGCGCAGGGAAAGGAAAGCGGATGTGCTCATTTTCCCCGAGACCCACGCGCTACCGAGCAGCTCCCATGACCTGTTGTACGATTGGCGAAAGGCTGGCTACACTGGTGTATTATCGGCGGCATACGAGTCGAAGGGCACGACCCAAGGCGGGCGGCATCACCACGGGGGCGCTGAAGAAGTTTCGCGCCCAGCCCCTTCGGCGCCTTGCGTCTTCACCTACTGATCAAGTGGGCCTGCGTGACTTGGACGGCCCACGCGATCAACCTGCCATCGATTTCCAGGATATGGTGGCCATGGCCTTGCGGGTTCAGGGCCAATCCCTGTTGGTGGTGGGAGTCTACACCCTGCGAAATGCTTAAGAAATCATGGGTTAAGAAATTATTAGTCTCAGAACTTGAATAAAAACCCAACATTCCCATTCAAATCTTAGGATTTGCATTGAAGCATTAAGAATAATCGAGACTCTGGCCGAAAATTCAAGTTTTCTTAGGCATCGCCTAAGGTGTACATGGCGGCGCCAGGGGGGCCCAAGGGCAACGCTTCTGAGCTGGCCCACGTGGGCACGCTGGCGTCGACCCTCAAGAAGCCGTAGCTCGTGATCGGAGATTGGAATACACCACGCGAAATGGTTAAGAAATCATGGGTTAAGAAATTCATAGTTTCAGAATCTGAATAAAAAAAAACCCAGAACGTCTATCAAAATCTTGGGATTTACATTGAAAAGTTAAGAATAATCAAGACTCTGGCCGAAAACTTAGGTTTTCTTAAGCATCGCCTAAGGTGTATGACGCCCCATAAGAGCTATCCTCGTCGGGGTGGCTGGCCTTAGTGAGCGGCTCCGTCGCCTTGCCCAGCAACACTGACTACACGCGCACAATGGGACGAGGTCGCATGCTGGATTTCGCCGCGGCATCGCCCTTGGCATTGGCTTGGATTGATGGGCTCCAGGCGGACCCCCAGGCGATCGGAGAGGCTGGCAAGGCGCACTGCGGCCTGGAGCTCACGCTGAATTTCGGCGCAGCAGGGCGCAGGCTTGGATGCTTCACATTCCTCTGGCTTTCCCGCGCCCTCCTCGGCCCAAGATCAAGGCTGACCCTTCCAGCAGGAGGTCTAGAGCGAAGGCCGAGGCGGAGGCTTGGAGGGCGGCGCGGCCGCAAACTGATATCACGCCGTCTCCTCCGCAATGGGGCCCCAGGCGAAGGTTGGCCATAAAGAGCCCACCCCCCCTGCAGTACGCCCTGTGGGGGGAGGACGAGGATGACTTCTTCACGGACGATGGGGGCACGGATGTTCCTGAGGGGGAGGCTGAGCAGGTGGCCGCCTCCGACACTGAACCCGACCTCGACACCCACGCATCTCTCCAGAGTGGCTGGACGGCGGGCATGAAGAACCTTTTGTGGCAGCAGGTGGCGCCCTCTCGGTCTTCAGCCACGGTTCCTGATGTCATTTCTAACACGCTGGCGTTGAGGGCTGCAGGCGCAGAAGCTTTGTCTTTGGGTGTGCAGTTCGCCGACCGGGTCAGCACCATGGACTTGTATTATTTGGATTTGTATGAGGTCGACCCGTTGGTTCGCAAGCAGCACCATGGGCGTGCTCAGGTCAGGGAGCCTCGCCTTGGTGAGTATAAGGGAGCACAGCAGTACCTGACCACGTCCCACCCCAGCTCGAAGCGGCGGGCACATGTTGCGAACTTCTTGGGCGAGCTGGTGGTCAGA